ATAAGTGGGGAAGACAACCTTATGGAAGTTAGCCACCTTTAGATGTACTTAATTTTTTTTGTTTGTTTTGGAAGTTAGCCACCTTTAGGTGTACTTAATTTTTTTTGTTTGTTTTTTTGGGATAAGTGGGGAAGACAACCTTGACCCACTTGAAAATTATTGGTAGTTAAGATAAAACAATAGTAAAAGAAAAAATTGAAAAGAAATCTGTAAAAAAAAAACAAAAAAACATACGGATTTGAGTTGAAAATTATTGACTGCCAATAAGTGGTAAAAGAAAAGAAAAACCACAAAAATGCCACTTTGGCTACATGCTGGTAAAATAACTTATTCACGTCTAAAAAAATTATCACTTTTGAAATGTCATCTCTCTTCCTTTTTAACTTTAAACTTTATCTTTTCTTCTCTTCTCAAGATGAGGATGTCACCAAAAAGTTACCTCATCCCTTCATAAAAAGCATCCTACGGATCTAATGTACTTGTTTCCTTTTGTTTTTAAAACAAGATTCTAAAAAAGAAGGATTCTAATAAGGAAAAGTGTTCAATGGGATCATTCATATTTGGTATAAGGTGGTCATAATTAATCTTGACCATTGGATTGAAATTGGGTGGCTATATTTATTGTACTTAAAAAGCTCAAAGTTCAATTTTTTTTTTTTGTAACTTTGTGACACTTCGAATGGTTATAAGTAATTGTGACATTTTTGTATGAAAGGTAAGTGATCTCATTGTATACAATCTCAATGATACATCCTTACTTAAATATGAGTCAATTTTCCTAAAGAAAATACAAGTCTTTTCAAAAATTAAACCTACAAGCTTTTAAAAAAAACACACTCTAAAAAATTTAAATAAGCTCATATTTATTTATTTTTTCTTTCGATTGCGATCCAATTGGTCTAGATAATGGAGCGGTCATCTCGACTACATCATCCTCCCCTGGTTGGAGAGCACTTGTCATTGAGTTAAGCTCTTCATCACTACAGTTATCTCCCACATAAGGAATTAAATGCTCTTTTTTATTGGGTAATTCAATGGGGAAGACATGCCCCTATCCGTTTTTTTTCAAATGGATTAGAGAATTAACTTTTTTGAAGGTGTTATTAGGTGGTGTCGGCATGATTGAAAACATCATAAGTCCTTATATGGTTTGGTTGCTTAAACTGATATGTATTGTCAGTGATCTTTTTTAAAATTTCGCATGCCCAATCTTTTGATTATTGAGCTTGTTATACTCCCCATCGGGATACTTATCTTTGGTCAAAACAACCCACATATAATCTCTAACTTCAAACACTTGCTTGCGACGATGGTTATATGTAGCCTTGTATTTTGTATTACTGGCTTCAATCTGTTTGCTCATGAACGCTTTTGATTTGGTTAGCTAAGTCTTCGGCCTTGCTACTAAATTTCCCTGCATGAGGTAAATGAGTCAAATCTAGCACATTGTTTAGATTATGTCCATAGACAACTTCAAATGGGCTTTTCTGATTAGTTCGATTTTGGGACCTGTTGACAGCAAATTCAACTTGAGATAAAGCCAAATCTCATTGCTTCAGCTTGTTTCATGCCAAACTGCTGAAATAAATTTCCCAAATTCTTACTCACTACTTGTGTCTGACCATAAGTTTGTAAATAATCATCGTTGCTAAAAATAACTCAGTTCCCATCAACTTCATAGAGATCTCCACAAGTGACTCATGAATTTTGCATCTCTATTTGAAGTGATTAATTTTGGAATGCCATACAATCGAACAACCTCCTTGAAATAGATTTTTGCAATGTTAGAAGCATCTATAATTTTCCTACATGCAATAAAGTGTGCCATTTTAAAGAATCTGTCGACCACTACAAATACTTAATCGATACTTCTCTTTGTTCTTGGTAACCCCAACACAAAATGCACATTGACATCCCCGCATGGTGCAGCTGGTACTAGCAATGGAGTATAGGATATAGAGTTCAACATTCTTCATAGTTCCTTCAGAGACCTGACAAATGTAGCATCTGTCTACAAATCTAACAATGTCAGGCAACACCTTGAGTAAAAAATAATCTTTAGACACCAAGGCCATGGTTTTGTCATGACCAAAATGAGCATTCTGGTATACATAGTCTTAGGCCTCTGAAGAGAAAACTATCACGCGCACAATAAACTTCATGTTTTCCTACTAAGACAGCAGCCACAATTGTTCCAAATTTAGGATCATCTTGGTACAACTCTTTGAATGTCTCAAAGACCACCACCTTCACTTTCATGGTAGTAAGTAACAGGACTCGCCTATTCAAACCATCAACTACCCAGTTATCAACACTTGCTTTATGCTTCAAGGTGAAAGTAAATTCTTGCAAGTAAGACATCCATTTAGAATGCCTTACGTTGAGTTTGTGTTGGCTATTAATGTATTTAAGAGCTTCATGATCCGAGTAAAAAATAAACTCTCTGCACCAAATAATGTCTCCAATTCTCAAGGCTTGTACAATGGCATAAAACTCAACATCATAAGTAGAATAATAAACTTTGGACCCATTTAGTTTTTCACTGTAGAACGCCATAGATTTTCCTTCCTTCTTTCACACAATACCGAAACCTAACTCATAGTGCATTCAAAATTTTTATTAAAGTCAGGTAAAACCAATACGGGTGCTTTTAGCATTTTCTCCTTATCAATTGGAAATTTTGCTTTGTTTTTGGAGTCTAATGAAATTTTCACATTTTCAATTAATCTGGAACGGGCGAAATAAGTGCATTGAAATTCCTGATTAACTGCTTGTAAAAAGAACCTAAACCATAGAAACTACGAACATCATGTATATTGCATAGAGTAGGCCACTCAATATAGCTCTCAATTTGGATTAATCTACTTCCACCCCCTCAAAAGAAACAACATACCCTAAAAATACTACACTTTCTGTCATGAAGCTGCATTTCTTAATATTAGTATATAGTTTTTCTTGCCTTAGAGTTTCAAAAAACATCCCTAAGGTGATGCGTACGAGTTTCACATGAAGAGCTATTAATTAATATAGCATCAATGTATACGACAACACACTTGCCGATAAAGGATCTGAGCAGATGGTTCATCATTCTCGTGAAGATACTAGGACCATTTGCCCAAAGTTGGTCCAACATGTCATCCAACCTTGGAATAGGGAAACGATATTTCACAGTGATATTATTTAAAGCCTTACTATTCACACAATTCACCAACTATCATCTTTCTTTGGTGTCAATAGAGCAGGCATTGCCCATGGACTCATGCTAACCCGGATAAAACCCTTTCCAAGAGGGAAACAACAAAAAAAAAACGATAAATTATCACAAATATACCTTAATTTCTGTCTATTTAGAAAAAACAAAAACCCTAGCTTTTAAAAATCTCGTCCACATCCTTTGTCTTTAATTTTGGATGGTCTGTGACATAAATAACCTTCATAGTAGTCGTATTACTGTAAAAGACCATTACTATACTTTAAGCACCGTAATGAATACCCTATTTTATACGGTACTGAAAATACCATGAGGAAAACTTTTGGTATTACGGTACTCGAATTACCGTAATACTTTCGTGCCTTATAAACCCTAGCCAAAGCCATTTCCTTCATTGCGGTTCTCTTTTTACCGTTTTAGGGTAGCTCTATTCCACTCCTCTGGCTCAAAATTTCTCGAGGTCCAATCTCTCACTGGTCTCTTTCTCCCTCATTTCCCTTATCTCATCTGAGGTAAGAAATCTTTTCTTCAAATTTTTTTTTGTTTGATTCAGTATTACGAATTTTAGGTTTTTCTCTGATTAGGTAAATTTATGGAGTTCAAATTCATTTCTTTGTTGATGATTGTTATGCATCAGATTCATACGATTCAGAAATTTATGCGAATTTTAGGTTTTTTTCTCTTATCTCATCTAATTCAATTTGATTTCTTTGTTGATGATTGTCATACATCAGATTCATAAATTTATGCGAATTTTTGTTTCTTTCCCTTATCTCATCAGATTCAATTTGATTTTTTTATTGATGATTGTTATGCAATGGGAATTAGGGGTTCATGAACTTGATTTTAGTTTGTAAATTTTATCTATCAAATAGTTATGTTTAGGGAATTTATTTGTTTTTCTTTGTTCATTGTTTCTTTAGCAATTGTAGACGTTCTTCTCTTTTGCTATTTATGAGAGCAAAAACTTTAATTTTATAGTAAAATCCTAATTGTTTCAAGATGCTCTTAGTTGTGTGTCAGAGAGAGAGAGAGAGAGAGAGAGAGAGAGAGAGAGAGAGAGAGAGAGAGAGAGAGAGAGAGAGAGAGAGAGAGAGAGAGAGAGAGAGAGAGAGAGAGTAGTAGTAAGAGTAGAGTAGTAGTAGTAGTAGTAGTAGTACGTAGTACGTAGTAGTAGTAGTACGTAGTAGTAGTAGTA